TAGGCAGAGACTTATTTAAGGTTTCAAAAACTTATTTATAGTTTATATTAAAATATTTAATTGAAAAAATTCATTATATCTTATACTTAATGTGCCGAAATATTTAAAGGGATGTATACATTATATTTACATTATATATATATTGTTTAAGTTCATAAACTATATGATTATATATTATATATGATATGATATATAATAATATTTATGATAACACATTTTGGAATAATATTAATTATTTTGAAAAGATTTGCAAATAATTTATATTAAGTATAAAAAGCTGGAATAACACATACAGTGGCCTAAAGGTCAATTCTAGTATATTTAAATAAATATATTTAATATATACATTCTGTGTAAAAAGTATATAAAGTATCTAACACACACGTAAAATATACAGCCACAATTTTTATTTTGTACACACGATAGTACAATAATACCTATGTCTCCTTCCGGAATTTGTAAGTGAATTCTGTGTTTTTAAATAAAGTCATTTTGCAATTATAACTTTTATTGCTCTGCGATGGTATGAAGTTAACCTTGCGCCGAAATTTTTGGCAAAAAACTCAATAAATATATTCGGACAATCCAAATTCGGACTCACGAATACACTGTACTCGTAGGGCAGTGTTCCCATTTCGAGAAAGACCACAAAAGATTTGTTTAAAATTTGTTCAAAAAGTTATATTTCAAACCTCAATGAGGCTATAAAGAAATTTTTAAAAGAGATTCAGTCAAGCTCTGGTCTAATTGTGTTACACTCGGTGAAGTCTACTTCGAGGGCGATAAAATAAATTTTGATTGAATGAGGATATTTTTTTTAATATTTTATTTAATAACTTCAGTTACTTTTTACACAGATTATATACATACCTTATTAATTATATTTGTTTTAATAACGTATTTTTTATTTAAAAAAAATTTAACGTATTAGTTTTCTTAAAAAATAATATTTTAAATAAAGTTTATTTTATTTTTATCTTATGATTGTTGCAAAATTTATATATTAATATATTAAAATATTATATTTTCATATGCTTTATTTATAAACAATAAATTAGTCATTTTTTATATGAAGCTTATATTATTTTAGGTACAAAAATAATTCACCTTATTTTATTTTTATATTATTATTGTTGCAAAATTAATATATTAAAATATTATATATTCATATGCTTTATATATAAACAATAAATTATAAATATTTTATCTGAAGCTTATGGTATTTTAGGTAAAAAAGTAATATACATATTTTTTATTTTTTTCTATAGTTAAATGAAAACATTTTTCACTGCATGCATTTTTTATTAATAATTTTAAAATTAAAAATAAAATTTTTATTAATTATTGTTGTAAAATTTTTCTTATCAAAGCACTTTTTTCCACAAACAATCTTTATCCTTCAACTTTTTTAACGTTTTTTTCTTATACAATGTATACTCTCTTCTAAATACACATCCAATTTTCAAAACACTTGCTGTTTACTTATATATGAATATATATATATCAACTATATATACATATTTTATGTGATATATGTTCAAACCCTGCTTTTGAAATTTTTCCGCACTCAATTTTTGTCTGCAACTTTTATATATAATAAAATATAATATGTAATTTTTTTAAATTGATATTGTAATTAAATTAATTTTGAAAATAAATTTATGAAATTTTAATTTGTTCTAAAACAACAACTTCAACCGACACAACAACAACAATAACTACAACTGCAACAATAAAATTTAATGTCCGTCACAAAACACAATATTGACGTCTGCAAACTCGCGAATTAAATTGTTAAATGTTTCGAATAAATTTTTAATCCAAAACAATCCAATCCTTGCAGTACAATGTACGCCCTGGGATCGATAATCCGTTGTAAGTAAATTAAAGCAAAAAAAAACCAAAAAAGAAAGTAAATAGTAATTGTAATAATAATTCAAAAAAAAAAAAAAGAAAAAGCAGTGTAAAAATATTTACCAGTAATTTGATTGTCTGTGGATTTATCTACACTATAATTTACTAGCACTCAACGCAGTTTTCATTGGAACTTCACAAAATCAGATTTTTATCAAACAATTTTTCATACACACATCAGACACAAACCCCATCAGAAATACAACAACAACTAAACACAATTTAATAAAATATTTATACACACAATTCATATATATGAACGGATATGAAAGGATATAAAAGGATATGAAAGGAACGCTTATATTAAAATGAATAAAAAGAATAATCACAGTGCAAAATCTCTTAGTGATATTGAAAAGGAAAATTAATTATGCTGAGTGGGAATTAATTTGAATGCACTTTCGAATGCATTTCATTCAAGAATCAAATTATTTAATTATAATAATTAAAATATGGATTTGGTCACCTTTTACCAGAGGTAGGACTTATCACGAGAATATCCCAACCCTTATCCAGAAGGGTTACCATTTGAGTTATGACTGTTAGTGTTTGTTAAGTTTGTATTAAAGCTATATATATAAAGTTCTACTGATCTTACAAGTATTTCCAACTCTACATTGAGTGTAAATCTAAATGCTAACACTCTTCCTGCTTAACTCTAGGATCCCGTAGTAGTAGTTTACACCTCTGATGGGGTGTAGCAAATGAAAACAGAGTTGTTATCATTTGTACTTCAAAACATTACCGAGTACCGAGCGTAATGAATACTAGTCACCTTTTATCAGAGGCAAACCTTATCATGGGTATATCCCAACTCTTAGCCGGAAGGGTTACTACTTGAGTTATGACTGTTAGTGTTTGTTAAGATTGTGTCAAAGCTATATATATAGTTTGCTATTTAAAGCTATTTGCTATAAGCTACTTCTATGATAGATACTCTTCTTGCCTTACTGACAGTTTTTCTTCGTTTCCTTCCGAAGTATCGGTAAATATTTTTAAAAAAAATCCCATCTACATAGGTATATAATTGAATAACTACAATCTGATTGACACGACTACTATATATATACATATCATCTATATAGTCATGTAAACAGATCTTTTCATTCCGGTTAAAAAGACTACTAGATATAATATATAGTGATATTGAGTTTTGCCGTGAATTCTTAGATAAGTAACAAGTTTTTTGAACAAATTAGAACCATTGCTAATAACACTTGCTGTGTTATTAATTAGAATTAATGTATAAACAGCAGCTAAATAAATTAACTTAAAACCACTTAATCGTTGTAATCATTATACGACAGTTATAAAAGTAAGCTTAAAACAACTTGATCGTTGTAATCATTATTACAATTAACGCATATACAACAGCTATATAAGTTAACTTAAATCAACTTGAACTTGAACTTTTTTTAGAACCTCAAAATAGATTACAGATAATTTTAGCGCCCCTTTAACTTTTATGTCCAGGGTTCTATAATATCCCTATTGCTAATTATACAGTAATAAAGTAATAACTAATAATGGAGTTTCATAAGATTTCAAATCCAAAAACTTTTATTTTGCACTATAAGAAAATTTTTTTATGAAAGGTTAATTTATGAATATTGTTTTGTAAAATTGTCACTAGGTGTGGATATATTTTTAGAGTATCTATCTTTAATATAAACTAACTAATTTTTATAATATGTATACTGAAATACGAATACACGAGTTTATCTGTAGTATTCTATTTAATAACTGTTTCGTGTATTCTAAAAAAAAAACAATAAATGAATTTTGTAAAAATTTCAGGTGTGTATAATAAATAATGCTGATAAGCTGTATAATAGATGTAGATAATTTTTACTAACATAAGTTTCAAAATCTGATAGTTTAGATAGATATAAAGATCAATATCCATATTTTCATTTCAGTAGAAAAATAATGTAGAACTACATGTATCATTAGATAGCTGTACAGATCTGAAGTTCTATATCTTTAGATAGCTGTCCAGATCTAAATTTCTATTTTATTTGGATAGCTGTCCAGATCTGACAAAAATATTCTAATTAAAACATAAAATTTAAGTAGTAAAATAATATAAAATCTAAATATATTTTTATATAGCTGTCTAGATCTAAAGTTCTATATATGGTATCCTGTCCAGATTTCAAATTCTATAACTTTAGATAGCTGTCCAGAAACCAATTCTATATTTTTACATAGCTGTGCAGATCTGATAAAAATATTGTAATAAAAACATAAATTTTAATTTAAGTAGAAAAATAATAGAAGATCTAAATATATTTTTAGATAGCTGTCTAGATCTAAAGTTCTATATCTTTACGTAGCTATCCAGACCAGACATATTATTTTTAATTCAAACATAAATTTCAATTTAAGTAGAAAAATAATGTAATAATCTCAACAAAAATAATATAACACATAAATCTCATAATAAATAAAAAGTAAATCACAAACAAACGCACCTTAGCAGTCACCATATCATCGTAATTTGGAGAGGTTTTTAAAAAGATGTTAAAATATTATGGAATCTATACATGTAGTTGTAATATAAAAATAGAATTAAAAACGTTTTAAAATCAAACTAGCTATCAACTATCAATTGTCATCCATAACTGTTTTTTATTTCATATATTTTAATCAGCTCCTTTAGTAATATTTAGTCTTTAACTTGCATGATTTTGATAATGCCACATTTAGATGTCTTTATAATTTCAATTCCAGAATAATTTCATTTAATTATTAACGTATTAATATTAATTAATAATAACCTTAGTCCTTTGGTGTGATGCATGGAAGTAGTTAATTTTAAAAATGTAAATAATTACCATTATTTAATTTAGATAAATTATCTCAAATTATAAGATAAAATTTATCTTAAGTCGAATCACTTTCCCTATTACCAATCAATAATGAAAAACAAGCACTAAAAATAATATAATTGCTAACAATTCAAAATTAAAAGCGAATGAGACCTTCTTTAGTGTAACCTTGACATATTACCTTAATCACTCTGTACCCCGGAATCTCAAAAAAAATCTAACATCAAAACATTTCCAAACCATGAAAAATTTCAGATTCACTGAGACAGCAAGACTTTTACGCAATGTTTTTACACGTCGTGCCAACACAAGAGTCGATACGGAACTAGAACTATCGCGTGAGTACATAGCACTTTTTTGTTTTTTTTTTGTTTTTTTGTTGGAATTATAATGGTTTTTAGCTTATTAGGCTAAAGAAGTCGGTCAATTATTGTCCAGTGTAAACAGGAAAAATTAATAAAGGAATAAATAAATAGAAATGTCAATTAACTGCAAAACATTTGCAGCAGAAACTAAGCCCATAAATGGATTTAGTTCACTGTTTTGTCCTTATGATTGATGGGGTCCTTTTGACTGATTAAGTATTTTTCTGTTTACTTAATTATCCTGTCAATGACATTTTGCTTAAAGTTTATTTGGTGGCCGTTTCGAACATTTATTGTACACATGTCCTTAAATTATATTTTGTTAATATTAGACTCATTATTTTTTATTTTATTTTTTTTGTTGTTTTTGTTTATGCATTTTCAATTATTAAATTTCGATTTTAGTCTTACTTCTTAATATTTCGTCACTTGGTTTACCAAGTGATAATATCTGCATAACTTGACTCAATTGATGACATTATAATGGGTTGTAGAAAAGAGACAATTTTTATAAAGAAAGGACGAAGTGACAACACCTATAAGCCAAGTTCTTACTATTGATACACATATTAATTGATATATTCTTTTCTAAAAATACTTAGTAAATAAACTTCACTACGACTCGTCATATTAGAAGTCCATTTTATAATTGAAATATATTTGTTTTTTAATATTTGAAGTTTATTTAATCATATAGTAATATGATTTCATCATAGAATATGAACACGAATTCTATTTACCATACCGTTTTAAAACAAAAAAAAATATTAAAAGATTTATTAGATATAGTAATACTTATATATTAAGTATCTGATTATATAGAGATATAGACATTTAAAATTATCATTAATTATTTTTTTTTAATTTTAATTTTTTTCGAAGGACGAAAAATTACCTAAGTCGTTTTGTGGTCTATCTCGACTAATCGTTTACTTCAGTGGGGCCTTTGGAGACTTTTATTATATCAGAGATATTGCACTTCTATAGCACTTCTATTTGGCTACCCTTTGTCATCAGATCCCACTTGTTTTGGGGTTCTTTTGATTTTTAGTAAATCATAAATTTCATACATATTTATTTTATCAATCTTTTAACTCTGGATCATGGATTATATCTATCATGTTCAGCAGTCTTACCATATACGGGCGATCCTTCACAAATTTATCATGGTTCTTATCCACCGTTTTGAGGGTTGTTATACCACTGTGTCTTACTGCCTGTTGACTTGGGTGATTTTTTAGAATTTTACTACAATTTTTGTGTACTTTAATTTTTCGCTACTTGATCAATTAATTCTGAATTTTATCCATCATATTCGGCATTATTCTAAGTTAAGGTATCCATCCATATGATATGGACCAACAGAGTAAAGGTTTTTCTTGTTATAATTTTCTTTTCTTTCAAAAATCGAGTTTTTTTTATTTAAATTTGATTTTACTTAACAATAGACAACTTGTCAATATTAAATAGCTATTAAACAAAAGAAGTAACCTTATCGACGAAATAAACTAGATCCAAAATTTCGTTTTTAAAAGTTAATTGCAGTTAATACCGACTTATTAAATTGCTGTCGTATACTATAAGTATATTATATTTTTTCCTATATAATTTTTATTTATGACATAAAAGTAACCAATTGATTAGTAGACTTAAAATTGCAATTCACATTTTAAAACTTTAATCAAAAAACTACATAATAATTTTATTTAGTTTAAAAAAAACATATAACACATTACATTACAATCCTCAGTCAATTTTTCTATGAAAACATCAAGTTCAAAAATATATAAACAGACTTTAATCGTCTCTACATTTGAATTATTATGGATTATGTGGTAAATCTTATATAATATTCTATATATTCTGATTTTTTGTTAAATGGAATGAAATTAGAAAGATAAGGATTAGGAGGATAAGGACAAGGAAGGTGACGTTTAGAAAGATAATGGTTAGGAATGTAAATTGAATAAATTCTCTGATTTATGTGGTGGGATAGTTTCCTCTCCCACTACATAAGAAGGGGAAAATTCACCATATACAGAAGAAGCTCTTAATAACAATAACATCCAAAACTTATCTGAAAAAAATGTATGTTAAGAATAGTTTAACATACCTATTAGGTATCGAGCTAAAGAATGTTGAAAAGACTAAAAACTGTATAAATTTTTAATGGACTCAAAAATAATGGACTAAATAAGATATTTAGCACTTAACCAAAACTAAGAAATTTTTGACAAAGAGCTTACGGAAAACATACAGAAAACACCTTAAGGTCTAAAAAAATTGTTCACGAATAATTAAATATCAGAAATAATTCCAAGACCACTAATGAATGGTATTTGATAATACTCGAAACAACTGCATGATTAGCAAAAAAATATAATTAATTAAAATTAAAAAAAAAAACAAAAATTTCTGTTGTTGCAATTCAACTCTGTTTGTAATCTCACTAGAAAATACCCTGCATAATATAAGTTTTTCGAATTTCACACACGATGTTTGTCGTTTACTGAATTTAGAAATCTCTTTGGTATTTATTTATTCCATTTAACATAGAAAGAATATATATGAATATATGTGTATTGTGTACTTATAATTATATAAAAGAACTGTTCAAATAGTCACTAAGCGACTCTGACCCTTAAGCCTAAACGTAAAAGAAATTTGAATCACCCGAAACATAGGGCACTCTGACTCTAATTACTTAGTTTGCTTAATGAATAAAAGTTGATCAGATAGTCTCCCTCTATCTATTTCTTCAAAAATTTTAAAGTAGTTCTAGCAAATGTTGAGTAATATCCGCATAAATATTATATGCTGTCCGCATGCTTGAGACATAATTGATATTTTGGTGGATGTGTTGCCACCTATAGTAATCAAGTGACATCCACTAGTGTTATAACTTTGAGGTCCTTACTCTTTAATTGCGTGAGAATTATCTTTAGGTTATTGTAGATTATTTTACAAAGCTTTTCAATTTGCTATTTTATTTAAAGGTGTAATAAAAAATATGGATTTGAAATGCCCAAAAGTGATTTAAGTCTTTCGAGAACTGTTAAATTAAGGAAACAATATATTTATAAATAATGTATTGCAAACTATTTCAGAAAACATGTTTTTTGAATTAGGCTACTACATTATAATATAATAGCCCCTAACTCACGATTTAGTTATACTATTGGACAGTTCTTTTATATAATAATCAATTACAGTATTTTAAAAAATAAACTAAATTAAATTAAAGACATATTTTAATAAATTTTTTAAACTTTTTCCACAGACGGTTATGCATTCTCACAGGAAGAAGGTGGTGCTGTACCGCAATCGGTCGTTATACGCGCCTATGATACGAATCTTCCCAAGCCGGAAGGAAACTAAAGCCGAAGAGACAAAATGGAGAAAACTATTCAATTTTTACTTAATAATTTAACCCCATTATATATATATATATAAATGGTTTTCATATAATATAAATCAATCAAACACACGGATACACACGTACAATCGCCAAAGAACAAAAAAAAAATAATATTTAAATTGCGAAAACAAAAAAGGTTTAAAGATTTTTAGCACTTTTTACAGTGTATAAGATATTAGGAAAATACATAAAAGTTATAAGCATTTTATAAAATAACTAAAAAACAATGTTTTTTTTAGAGGTATAAGCAAACATACATATATAAAGTTTTAATTTTTTCTTCAAATAATTTATGTGTTTTTAATATGCACCAACAACGATATTTTTAATGCATAAATATTTTTCTCTGTGTAAAATTGTAAAAAAAAATTGTTATTTGTATATATAAATATTTTATTTAACTACCTGTTGATCTATGTACATTGTTGTTTAATTTAAAATTTTATAAATAATATTTATACTATATTTTATTTGTAAGATATCTTTTTACATCTAAGTACTGAAGAATGGAGTTCACATATGAGGTGTATACCTTTTTTTTGATAATAAGAATTTCTTAGTGCTGTTTTTTGCTATCCCATAAGAACCAATGAAGTCCAATGAGGTCCTTGAATAAATTATTCAGTAACTAATTAATTCAGTAATTAATTTTTTAAGAATGGCTTTTCATAGTTTTTATAATTCGTTTGGGATCTACGGCAGTTCCTCGCAAACTGTCTACAGATCTGTTGTGTTTCCCAAGGATTCTCATTATTTGATTTAGAAAACATGAAAATCTTAAATACTGAATAATGTCGGTTGCGGCTTCATATTAGAATGTGTGAAAATTTATTTAAAGAATGTTTCAAAAGCATCTGAAAGATACTTCAGAGCGAGTAGTGAAGAGATAAGAAACCAAGAGTCTACTATTCTACGAACTTCAACTTTAATTATATGAAAAATCACAGTATTTTAATTTTTGAAGCACTTATATATATATATATTATTTATTTTACGAGTGTAAAAAAGGAGTCACCTTTAATTTTAAACTCAAAATTAATTAAATTTTACTAAAAATTAATCAAATAAGTTTAAAATTATTTTAAAATAACTGAATAGTCATATTAAATTTTAATAAAAACATACTATTATATTAAATTAATTTAAAAACTAATATGATTAAATTAACTTGAAAATTAATTTAATATGAATAATATTCTATTAATTTAAAAATTATTAATTAATTTAAAAATTAAGTGAATTAAAAATTAGTTTCATTGAATCATTTTAAAAATTAAGTCACTTAAAAGTTAAATTAATTTAATTAAAATAATTTAGAAATGAGTTACATTCAATTCACTTAAAACTAAGTTCAAAAAGGATTGAAACTTTTTAATTAAATAAAAAACTACATGAATTTTAAATTAATTAAAATATATTAAAAAATTAATTAAATTAAATTAAAAATTAATTTATTTCAATTACAAATAATGTATTGTATACAAAAACAAATATTTGTATAAATAATTAATACTTGAAATTTGTGTTACTAATTAATTTAAAAATAAGTTTAATTGATGAACTAAATTAATTAAAAAATAAAATTAGTTTTCCTAAATTAATTTAAAAATTAAATTGGTTTTCTTAAATTAGAAATTAAATTATTTTTCTTAAATTAATTGAAAAATGTTTTAAAATAAATTAAAAACTGATTAATTTAAATGAAAATGAAATGAATTAAATTAAAAATTTATTTAATTTAGTTAAAAACTAAATAACTTGAATTCAAGATAATTTTGTTTTTATTTTATTTTTTTTATTTATTATATTTTAATTTAATTTTGTAACAATATTACAAAATTAAAAGTTAACTACATAAGTATATTTTCATTATATTTAAAATAATTTAAATATAAGAAATGTATGTTGTATGTGTATTCATTCAATTATGCACTATACTTAAAAACACTAAAACAAACCTAAGCTGTAAAAATTAATTAATATAAAAGTTTTTTTTTTAAACTTAATAATTGCAATTTAAAAAAAAAAAATAACAAAGTGAATGATTTTATTTATTGTAATATTTAAAAATTTATTTTAATGTTAATAAAATTTAATTAATAAAAAATATAATTTTTTATTCCTTTTTTCTATATAATTATTTAATTTGATTTATAGTTAATTTTGTTTATATATATCATATTTTATTACATATAAATTCTGTATTGCAATTCAAATCCAATTAATATATAGGTATATTGTTTTTTTATTGATTTGAAAGTTCTCAATAGATAGAACATAAAATTTTTTTTAGAATTATATGAAAAATTTCTATATAAATCTGGTTGAAAAATCCGCTTTAAAATTCTTTAATGATTTAATGCATTGGTAGGAGAAAAGAGAACCAGAAACTAGGCTTATAAATAGTACCGACACCAAGAAAAAAAAATACGGCAAAAATGTGGAGATCTGGACGCAGATCAAAAATCACAAGAGTATGGCTTGAAATCCCATCATAAAAAACTCGCCTCGAAGTAATGCGAAAGCGGTTCCGAGGGAGAATCAGACTCGCCCAAGATTGGGTGTTTTAGTCCATATACTACATATTAATGTTAAGAAGTCGGGCGTCCCATTCCGACGACGGTTGGTGTGACGGTGCATAAAGTATTCCATCTTCTCATCACGAAAAAAAAAATGTATTGGTGCCTGTCCATGAGGATCAGAGTGACAAGCTCTGAATTTATTGGTGTGTGCATTTTAAAATTAGAGTTTCTCAAGCACCATCTAGATTCGTAAAAATGCCTACGAAATTGACAGGGGTTTAACTCCTTCTTTTATCGCTACGGACTAATAAGTCTATACATGGCATATGCCCAGCTAAATTAATCTAATCTAGTCTATGAAAAAATTTATAGGATATATACAACTCTCTCTCTCTCCCTCTCTTATTTATTTATCAACCATTATTTCTCTCAAAACTCATTATATGGGTCACAGTACGAAACTCATATATTAATAAATATTCATTAATTTCTTAAAAGAGGGGAGCAAGAACAGAAGCTTCTGATACTAATATAAAATATGTTACGCATTAAATATTAATATTCCATTTTAATATATTCATATATTTTTGGACATAGTTCAATCAAGCATAGGCTTATAATATAAAAAAGATGTGTAATCCATATTCTGGAACCAATTAACTCCGAATCATTATTAAAATATCTGGACAAAGGAATTTTATTTTTAACATTAATATTTTATTTTTAAAATTTTTTTATATATTTATTTGTGTATTTTATATATTAACTTGATTTTATATATTATTTTTTATTTATATTATTTATATTTATATAAATATATATAATATTATTATGTAAAATTTTAATTTCAATTTTTAAATCTTAATTTTGATCAATGCTTTTATATAAAATTTGTAAAAATATATTTATAAAAATAATTTATATATATATTTAAGACATTTTCATACTACATATATAATGTATAAAGAAAAAATAAGAATAAATTTTTTTATTATATTTTACTTGCACCTATGGAGTATTACTATTATTAAAATGCACCAAATCTGATTAATCTTAAGACACTCTAATTTTTTTTTTATTATTGGAGATCAACTTTTTTTGTAATATTGCTTATTTGTGCTACTCACCAAAACTTAGTTGTGATATTAAATCTATTATATATGTATATGTAAAGTCCCTATATAATTACCTTCAACATACTATTTTCGTATATTTATTCTATAAATCATATAAAGCAACTGAAGAAAATTTAATACATTTGTACCTTTAAGAAAATGAGTGTAGCTTTGAATTTTTATATGTAACTAACACCTCAACATAAAAATATTATTTATCTGTCTATACTATTATGAGTCTATTATGTATTTACTATAAAAAATAAAAATAAAATATATATATAAAAATAAATATTAAATATATTTTATATGATCTTATGTTTATTTTAGATGAGAATGTATTCAATAGTTTTAGGTGATACGATCTGATAACAATCTTACTATAAATGGATGGTTAAGAATGTCATTCTAAGAGTATTCTGTACTCTTAACCTAAATTTTGGAGTTTTTCCCCATGTTAAGATCAGTGTAGTAAGGAGTTATAATGAAAGTTTCATCAAAATGTTTGTCCAATGGAGTTAATAGTGTTTATTGCTATTTTCGCCCAATCCCATTTTCTTAATTAAATTTGTTTTTGAACCTTAAATTGTACTATTTAAATCATTAGATCAATAAGATATATCTGATGCCATAAAATCTTAAGAATTCGATCTAGACATCGATTTATGAAAATCTATACTTTCATATTTTTGAGTGCCCATTTGTGAGGCATATAAAATTCTAGACATTTCACCAAAACCCTTGTTATTAATGATCTTCAAGCGATATTATCACTCGTATTTTTTTCAATGTTCTTATTGAATCTAAATTTGTTCTGTTAAGAAATTTAAAGTCGGAATTAAATATACTCTATTGCATCAAGTCTAAACACTGATATATGAAAGCCTATATTTTTAACTAAATACCAGTACTTCTTTTCGCAATCATAAAATTAACCTGATATTATATTCGAGTTGAAGATATGTACGGTAGTGAAATAAAACTCGATAGAATATTAATACCAGAGTCAAATCTATTTCTGTCATATCATTTCCTCACATTTAGAAACAAAAAATACCCTTCAAGCTATATGTAGAATATAGAGAATATAGAAAACATAATAGGTGTGGAACTAACGAATTTTTTTAACGAATTTTTAATCAACCAAAAAACGAAGATCCTCTACAATTGTCTACAGATAGAAAATTATGGTGTGCATTCCGTACAAAAACTGCTAGGGAATAATTGAAAGATGGAAAATACTGAAAATATACAATATATACCATTAAGTTATATTGTAAACGTCCTCTGGAGAATTTTCTAACTATATATTGATTTGCTTCAGGAAGTAAAAAAAGTAAGACAGAAGAATATGTTCAATATATGTATGGAAATGATGAATAGAACTGAATCTAGACAAGTAAATAGTAGGTGGAAGGCAACAAATATATATATAAATACTATATAATATATACCCCTAAGTTATGTTGTGAACGTCCTCTGGAAAATTTTCTAACTATATATTCATTTGCGTCAGGAAGTAAAAGAAGTAAGACAGAAGAATATGTTCAATTATGTATATTTGAAAATCATAAATAGAACTGAACCTAGTCGAATAAATAGTACCTGGAAGGAAACAAGAATATATAAAAGAACTATATAATAAATATAGTACTTAATGACGTCATTAAGTATTAAATTGAAAGATATTATTGAATGATACTTTTACATATGGTATATAGATGTGGCAGTGTGTGATAAGGATTCCATATATGTATATGAGTATAAATCTACCAAATCTTAATAAATATGGTCTATTCTTTATTGCTATTATTAGCTGTAAACAACACAAAAGATCTTTCATGTTCATTGTGTTTTGCTTCAATGTTTGTCAAATACTTATCAACTTAACATATAATTCTAATTCTAAAGTGACGGCCATCATAAAAATTTTTAAAGATGAAAACATTATATATAATATAAAAACTAATTATTAAAAATTATAAAATGAAATATTATTATTAAAAAAATTACAATTTAGATTTCACTAAATTTCTATTTTTCATTTCGTTGATCAGTAAATCCAAAACATCGGCTGCGCAACCCCAAGCCAGTGTAACTCCACTACCTCCATGTCCATAATTATGTATAATAATTTTTTTAACTAAAAAAAAATATTTTTTTTAATTTTTATTCATAACAGAATTGTTAAAAAAATAAATACTTACCATTTTTGTCCACATCTAAGCGCAGACTAGTTCTACCAGGTCGTAAGCCAACCCAATCGAATAAATGCTGCGCATTTGTCAAACCTGGTACAATTTCCCTGCAACCATCAATTATGAATTTCTTATCATTTGGACATACCACTTTATTATAATCATCCTTCTGATGGGTGCCACCCAATACAACAGACTCTGTGCTATAAACAATGAAGGGAAGAAAATAGATAATTTCAGATAATACACCTAAAAAAAAAATTATTGATGTAAATATAAAATTTTCCTAAAGCGTCTTTAGAATAGTTGTTTTTTTCAGTAAACCAAGAATTCTTAGATATTTAAGCATTGAAGAGACAACTGTGATCTATATCATGTGTCAGTGCCCATGTTTAGCTGAAAGAAGATCTAAAATCTTCGGGTCTCTTTTTTTAGCGACCTGGTCGAGTTGTCATCTTGGAAAATTAGGAATTGTCAGTTTGGTTCATCTTTATCTAATAAGGGAGTTGTAGCCTTTCAGTGTTGCTCGTATGCTGACCTCAAGTCTATGTATGAACAAACGTCGTCAATCTTGTGGTACAACAACGGGCAATTATTTGAGCTCAAGTGGGCTTTTTGGGTACAAAGCTTACTTATTAGCAGTATGGTTAGATGGTTTTAAAAAGATGTTAAAACAATACCAAGTAAGTTGCTAATCAGTAATATATTGATATAATTTGGCGTTTAGATAAATAGGGCAATAAATGTTCACATCGGTAAAATCACATTTGAAAATCAAGATGCATCTTTCATTAAAACATATTAAACAACACAGCGAAGCTAGAGAGGTTTCTGTGAACATGAATTCCTATTCAAGCCTGTAAGCGATCCTTAATGCGAGTTTTATCGACAATATGTACTAAAGGGTTTCACAGCTAACACAGATAAGCTAGAGAGGTTTCTATGAACATGAATTCCAATTCAAGCCTGTAAGCGATCCTTAATGCGAGTTTTCTCGACAATGTATACGATTCGCAGTTGCTAAGAAAAATATGAAAAGTCTAATCGGTAATGTTAGTTTCACATATTGGACGATATGATGGTGAAGAGTAGTAAAGACTATAATTTGTACGTTTAAAAGCATATTCTTGAGATATTGTCGGAAGTCACGAACTTTATAAAGTTCGGATGAGTAAAACCGTGTTTTTTTATCTACTCATTGATTAACTGTCACTCTAACATAGAGGACACTGAGCTGTCTGTGGCATTTTTATCCCACAAAAACATGTATAAATGAATTATGCATATGTTTGGTATAGTACGTACTATATATGGTATTTGTATATTTGAACCTCCATCAAAGAGCGTATATATGCGCACATAGGTACGGTATACACTCTCCCACTATCTATTGAAGGTATTAATATCAACAGAAAACAATAGTACATAAACACAACAGCACACCATAAACAAAGTGTAAATGTAGTACGAATGAATCATAAGCAACCAAACATATGGTAAGCGAATTAGCACAATATAACTCTATATAAAGCACCAATTGTCAAAACAATAAACAATATTCCATACAATTGACACTAACTTGGGTATTATATAGTTTCCATCATCGCTTTCATCCAACACAACGAAATATAACCAATTTGCCTTAACCCTTGAAACCTGCCCTCGGACAGCATGCATATTTGCATCCTTAAGCAGTTCTCGAGAGCCCAAACCAGTACAGTTTATTACGATGTCGTATTGGTCGTTATTGATAATTTCATTTAAGTCTTCTACTCTCTGTTGAACGATTTTTCCGCCATTCTTCTGAAAGCGTTTCATTAAGTAAGGCAACAGTTTCAATGGCTCAGAAGTATATGTCACAAAATGAAGACCGTCACTGTAAAATTAATTATAATTGTATGTATTGAAATATAATATTTTAGCCATAATAAAAAAATTTATACTTACGTGAATTTTTTGGCACGTGTAGTGCTCCATTCTCTTAATTCTGCCTCTGCTAGTGGTGCACAGCCATAAACGATATCTTTCCAGAAATCTTCAACTTTCACATCGTTTGTTGATAAGCGCACCACTGGTATAAGACATACACCTGCTTCACCCGCATCTTCGGAGAGCCATAACTCTTGCAAAAAATCATGCATACCCTTCGACCATTTACTATAATCAAAATTGGGTTTGTATGGGTTTGAATTACAATAAAAAACTATTTATTGACTTACTGTACTTTGTTTGTGGGTGTGCCGCCTAATAAATATGGTCCCCATAAACCGGCTGAACCATCACCTGTTGTGTTTGGCGAAAATTCTTCAGAGATAACAGTTACTTTTATGGGTGTTTTATTTGCTTGGAAGTGTTCCAAAATTCTAACAGCACAGCAAAAACCATTGATACCACCACCAACAATTGCTATATGCATTTTGAAGTGATTTACTTAGTTTAAAAATTTAATAAGAACCGCTCTCGTATCTCAACCGACTTGTTCGATTTTTCGACAATAACTAAACATTACCAAACAGTTTAATATAGTCTTATAGGCAAATCATTGGTCTCTATTATCTGAGAGTTTGATAAGCTATATTCACTAATACAGTCTCGAATTGAATAGATAATACACAGCACAAATGATTACACATACTAGTATGATAATCGCTTTCAAGTGAAAGTATTACCTACAAAAATATCAACATTGATAAAAATTAAATCTGTTTGTTTGCCGCAGTTTGTGGTGAGTCTATTAGGGTTTGAAACATACGTTGTATAATTAATACACTTATAGAGATATGTGATGATAAAACATTAACCTTTTCAAACACAAAAAAAAACTATTTCACATTGATATTGACTTAGTCTTTAAAGAGTTCGTAATAAATACATTATCACAGAAAGAAGTAATCGTCAGAGACTCAGACGATTACCTACAGCTCTCGGATACGAAATCGCAAACGAAAATACCTGACAAATTTTTCACTTATGATAAACTAATTTTATGATCATTTTTGTAAGTCAACTTCACGGAAACAAACAGTTGTGTTTTCACGCTTAAGAATCGTATAACCCTTTGTATTCCACAAATTCCTAATCACAAATAGTAGTCAGAAACACTGCAGCTATAGCGGTTATTCCTTGTATCACCCTACATTTCTGATTCCTGCTTCGTTTTCTGAAATCAAAAACATTATTTTGAGATCAATAACTCTCACATCATCAATATCCCCATCATATGGTTCAACCTACTTTAGCAAATATATCTCTATGCATTTCTTTATCTCTCTACATCCACATCCTTGAACAATTTTAATTACTGCTCCATTTTCTCCAATCAAAAACTTTTCTTTGGGATCAATATTTCTCGTATCATCAATATCTTCAACATTCGGCTTAATCTACTTTCGCGAATAACTCTATACACATTTGCATCTCTTTACACATTTACATCTCTCTACACAGTTACATCTCTCTACACATTTACATCTCTCTACACTTTTGATTCCTGCTCTGACTTTTTCAATCAAAAACTTTATTTTGTGATCTATATCTCAATCTTATGGTTCAACTTACTATCGCAAATATCTCTTTATGCATTTCTACATTTGTATGTGTATTTCTATTATCTTTACATTTGTATTCCTGGTCCATTTTTTCGAATCAAAAAATTTTTTTTTGGGATCAGTATTTCTCGTATCATCAATATCTTCAACATCTGGTTTAGTCTATTTTCGGAAATGTTTCTCTCTGCACATTTACATTTTTGTATATTTTTATTCCTGCTCCGTTTTCTTTCTTGAATCAAAAACGTTTTTGGGATTATTATCTTTCACATCATCAATATTTCCATCATCTGGCTCGAAAGTTGGCTTTTCACAAATATCTCCTCTTCATTTTTACATCTATCTACAAGTACAAGTATCTAATCATATCCTCTTAATGAGGTCTAGGCACAATAGATCTTTTAGGTCCCAGTGCACAATCCCTTCTTTTAATAATAATAATGAGGTCTAATCTATGAGCTTCTGTTTCTAATGATTAGATATATATATGCTAGACTTTACTTCTAGCCAGAGTATTTAGTTGCTTGAATGCAAATTAGTAACTTATACAAAACTAACTAGTAACAAACTAGTAAGTCCATAGGGCTTGAGCCTCGTAAAAGGCTCAAGAAGTACAATTTTCTATACCCGTATAAAAAAAATTACTCTTTTATATATATTTGGACAAGTTATCATTTATTGGTTTTCTTACGAACTAAACAGATTTAAAAACCGTCTATTGTATATTGTACAGATCGAAACAATCATTCTCTTGTTGTTGTATGTTAGTAGCCCGCAGGGATTTGTCAAATGACGAATATGATAACGATGTGAATTGGAATTGGTTTATGTGGGGGAAACAGGATTATTAGGAAATTCGGAGGCGGATTGGAAATGGATGGAATCCCCAATCCGCACTCATTTAGTGGGGACTTATCCATAAAGTCAACGATACATAAATAAGCATTTCAGTTTCCAATTAAAGGATATGTCAATACTTACTTCCAGATCTATATACTGCGTTGAACATTCTTCATATTTGATAAATCATTGATATATACTTTTAATGCTCATTGGCATAAGGATGATCAGCCTTACTAATTTCAGTAACATTCTTAATGATTAATATTGTATTTGATCAGGTTACAGTGTCTAATAAGAAAATAATATTCTTGATTTTTGATTTCTAATTTCACTAAACGAAAAAACGATATGGTTTTTAATAAACCGGGTTCCAGTATAACATTCTGAAACCCTATTTCTTTGTTTATTATCTAGTCAATGATTGCACGCTGAATAGAGAACGAAAAGAATAGAGAACATCTTGTATATATTATTTATATATAGTTTATCTTAGTACTTGTGATATGGACAAAGTATACAGATTACAGTATATAGATTACAGACAACTGAAAATGGAACCCGGTAGAACATCAAAGTTAATGTTATTGCAATCATCGTAGTATGGCTTTTTTTTAATATTGTTGTTGTTGTTGTAACCCGGTAGAATCTGAAAAGCAGTTAATATGAAAGGACTTACAAGAGAAATACATGGGTTAAAATGTAGATTGGTAATCTTTGAGGATAGGGTTTGGGGTATGGGGAAGATTAGAAAATGTGGTTGGATTGAGAATGAGTGAATACTTTTTTATACTATAACTAATTGTAATAATACAAATATAAAAAATTTTTAAAAGATATTTTGAATATTATTATTTCCTTTATTTACCTTAAAGGGTAATTATAAAGATCTTAAACTAAGCACAATTACAAGGTTTTAAATTGTTTAACATTAATAACAATAATAATAACATAGTGGAGTATATTATTTTTTGTAAATTCTTAAAAATTGTCTGATAGTCGAATATTTATGTATTAAGTCTGCTTTTTCTAATGCATTGGCTATAATTACGAGACATTTAATTTGTTCAATATTCGTCTGTACTGTTTTTGGTGTCACCGCCCATTATATTCTTTAGGTTGATGTAGAATGGTTAAGATTAAGATTCCACTGTGATAAATTAAAACGTTACGAATCTCCAGGATTGGTTTCTGGTTAAATAAATAATACCGTTTTTTATGTATTGGTTGACAATACTTCTTCAACATTTTTAAATACATTATCGGCATTTACCATGTCGATTTAAATACTCTTCATTGGCTACGATCTGACAAGATGATATATGGGCAATATCTTCTTTTTTATGATCAGATCTGCGACAGATATCTTCAGAAGCATTTGAAATACTAATTACAGGGTTGAAGTAGTATGGATTCATATAATGTCTGGGCGTATATCATAAACTCAACAGCAATAGTTCAATTGATTTGCTTTTCTACCCATTCATTACGTTGTTGAATTTTTAATATCAAATATATATTACTTTCAGCCAATCTTAAAGGCGTTAAGATTCTTTTATCCTATCATATATTTATTATCACTTAAATATAATTATTAGCTGTGAGTAGTTTCTTTCACCATGAAAATATCTGCGCAATAATTCTAATTGTCAGAGTGGCAACGGATATCTAAGAGCCGTCTAACACCGCACGTTTTTGGTAATATCATCTTGCAAATAGACGATTTTTAATGGTGGACTTTATTTTGTGTGGGAATGTTTTTAATTATTCTTTACAGTTCTTGAAGATCTATCACTAGTATCATTACAACTTTAACGTTGTACACTAATAGCGGTATAGTAAATGTATAGAGTTCGGCGATGGATATTAAAAGCCTGTCGGCCTAACATTCCAATGAAGAGGTTAATTAAATAAGTATAGTTTTGGAACTTTTTGTGGGGTAAACGTTAAAATAATTTGATTAACTAACTTACAACACTTACAGCTTTAAATAAAATTAATTGACTTTCTTTTGTAAAAAGTTTTGGGCAATATTTTAGCATCGTGTGTAGAATTTTACATATACTGTATAATCCTTTAAAGCCATATTATCAGGTAAAAATGCACTCAAATAAGCTTACTCTACTAATAACACAATAAACGGACAAAATTCTAACACTGAATGGCACTACTACTACTGGATGGTTTCTGTGTCTACGTCAATCTAAAAACTATTCAATTGAGTTTTGGACAGCCTCAAGTAATGGTAAATCTTCACGTTTTCTCTTGCGTTCACACTTCGGACAAGGTTGCTTATCGTTAAGGCAATGAGCATGAAACACAGCACCACACATTTCGCACTGAAAAAAAGTAAAGCATAAAAAGTACTTATAAAGTATAAAATCAATTATGACTTACTCTGTAGGTGGTGTCAATATGAAAGGGATATAAAACACGAGGACTATTACAGATTTCACATATAAAACCTTTTAGGCTACATAAACCACATTTCAGCACATGGCTTTCACCAATTTTATAAGCCTTCTGTAAATTTTGATGTAATGTACCACGTGGTATCATTTCCAGATCATCAATAGAATACTGATGTATGTGCTCGTATAAATAATCTTTACCAAAAAATTGACGTTGCAGTTTATCAATACTTGCAGTACAACAAGTGTAAAGGTAAGCACGTATAAAATTAAGACGTATTCGAAGTGATTGCAATTCAGCCATAGCTTCAGCAGCATGGTATATATGCGGATTGAGCAACTAAAATTATATTTTAAATAAAATTGTATAATTGCTCTTTTACAGTATATAAATAATGTATGTTATGTTAACATACCTTAAGGTCTATAAATGGCTGATAACGAAATTCAGTTAAAAATTCTGCTGAACGTTTGGAGACATTATATTTACGAAAGTCCCAATTGTAAATAATTTTAGCTGGTATCAGCATTGGTTTTACATTCATACAAGCATCACAGAAGTAATTGCCACTAAAAGCACAAACTCTAGAAGACAAAAATGTCAAAATTACATCAACAAAAATGGAAAGTAATTTAAATTAAATCTATAACATACCTTAGGTTATTATATCCAATACCCAATGGGTGCTGACAAGATTTACAAAGAAAACCTTGTGCGTCCAAGCCTGACTCTCGTGCCAATTGGCATAATTGTTCTACCATTTCTTGTAATTCCACAATATCGAATTTATCAATAGCTGAATTGGATAATATCTCAAAGTCTGAGTTCACCTATATTAGATAATTACAAATAAAAGCAATTAAATATAATTGCACAAATAAATTTATTACTTGACTTTCATTAGAGAAGTTCTCTAGATCATTCTCAAGCGTATCTGTTGTCTGTGTGCCATCCGCATCTGTATTTGTCATCATTGCGGTGTTTTGTATTAAAAACTTCTCCCACACTTCCATCCAATCAACGTCACGATTTCGTTCGTGCTTCTTTAAAAGTGCGTTATAACTACAACGATCTCCCAATGGTGAACGCAACGAACTAGTAGAACTGCTCATACTAACCGAACGTTGTACGTAGCGTCCATGTCCTGTTTCATCGGTGGGAGTTGTTAATGCATGCGCACTCTCACTGTTAGCATCTGAGGACCACGACGTTTGCATTAAATTCGTCAAAGAATTACTATGTGTCGAATGTGGATAATTGCTTAAATCATAAGGATTAGTTTGTGTTGCACCTTCAGTTGCATTTAATTCGGTATTGTCCTTTAAGTGTTTTCGTCTTTTTTTGTTTGATTCTTTTTTATTTGCTATTTTATTCGGTGAGGTATTATTCGCAGCTTGTGCTTTTTCTATATCTTCCTCGCTTATAATATCCATTTCTTCAATTTTTTGAAGAAATAAATCCATATTTTCACGTTGATTTATGTCCAGCACACCAAAATTGGATGGACGTGAAAATGGACTATTCGAAATTGATTCGGAAAAGAGTTCGTTGGTACGTAATGGTTGGGGTGTTGGTATGGCCATTGTTTCAGTAGTAAGTGAACCTGCAATATCAATGCCACTACTAATCTGTAAAAAATATAAAAACTAGTGGTCATCAATGAAGTAATATCTAAATCTTTCTTTTTAATAAATGATGGAAAGACTCTACAATATATAGGCAAGTTATATGTATATAAATGCCCCGTAGTGTTATCAGTCTTGTAGTAGACTTACTTACAGGCCATTGCAGATTAGAAAACCATGATGACTGATTGAATCTCTCTTACAATTATTGCCTCTGATCAATTTTATACTTTCCCAACAAATGCATGGCGCCGGATAGAGTAGTAACTCTAGGGCCTTCCTTTTTTCAGGATCTCGGCCAAAAGCAAGACCCATTAAATAGCACTTTCAGATTTTCCAAAAGTTTAAGATTGTATAAAACCTCTGATTTTTTCATCTATACGGTAACATAAATGGCCAGAAGACCTAAGGGGATCCCTTTGGATCGCCGGTACAAACTAACGTAATATCTAAATAGTATTAAGAAGTTTCCAAGAAGTTGATGTGGGCTAAAAGCCACGAAATATATATACTGTAAATTCAATTTCAAATCTATGGATGATTTTTTTAACATTTCTTGCGGAACAAAATTTACAGACGAATGACATTTATAGTTAACATAATTTTCAACAACCACCACCCCGCTAAAGTGACAAGATTTTTTTAGCTGGACCACCAGGATAGTTTCAGTATCACTACAAATTCCTCATCTTTTCTTCTACCTAACTCTATATTACTTCATCCATTCCACGCATTTGTGTAATGTTTTGACAGAGAAGTAAGAGAAGTTTGACAGAGACTAAGACAGAGAATTCAATATGCCATGAGCTTCGGATTATACTCACTAACTTACCGGGCATGATTTAAGTGCCGGTGTCCACAATCCCGACAATTGAAGAGAATAATCAGGCCAATTATTTAATAAACTGGAATTTGTTGGTAAATCAAACTGCAAGTAAGCTTCGATGCCTTCCATTAATTTTGCAGCCATTTCCAGTCCTTCACTGTCCTTAAGCAAAGCATACTTTTTATAATAAGGACTAAGAGCTTTTGTATTTTTACGCATTATATTTAAGTATGAAGAGAAAAGTGAATCATTAAGTGATAAACGTATCCATGCACGACATTGTCCTATCTCAGAGGTAATCTGTGATAAACTTTGTATCTACAAAGGGAAAACATATATATTTATTTATATTTCTGCATAATGTATATAAAAATAATCGGAAATAAATATTGAGTTACGAATACCCTTGGAATATTGCATTTTGACTTTTATGTGATCTGTAGAAAACCATTAAAATATTGTATATAAATGGAATTTTGTATAAAAGATTTTTTTTAGGGGCAACTGGCAAGAAACAAAGTCTCTTTAAAACCAGTAAGTCTATTTAGTCTTCATACTTATCTATTCTACAGTGACTTTCAATACAGCAACTGTTTTGGACAATGACTTTTAATACAGCAACATACTTGGACAGTGACGTTTAATACAACAACTGTCTTGGACAGTTACTTTTAATACAGCAAATGTTGTGGAGACTGTCCTATTAACACAGTAACTGTTTTGGACAAATTCCCAAATGTCGTAGAGAATGTCCTGTTAAAGCAGCAACAGTAACTATCTTAGGCAGTGTGTTGTTAGTACAGCACCGTTTTGAACAGTATCCTACCCAGCAACTGTCATAGAGAGTATGTGTGTAGCAATTATCTTGGATACTACTTTTGACAGTACCTTATCCAGCAACTATCTTGTATAGTATCCTGTCAAACAACTGTCTTGGACAGTATCCTGTCCATCAACTGTCTTGGACAATGTTCTGTCTAACAATTATCTTGGACAGTATCTTGTCCAGTAACTGTCTTGGAGAGTATTCAATCCATTAACTGTGATGGACAATGTGCTGTTAATACAGCAACTATCTTGGATGGTGTCCAATAGTTTTCGGAGCTGTACTGATCTGTGAGAACCGTTAAAGGCGAACCAATTGTTTTGATTTTAACTTCTTTATTGCAGAAGCTTTTTATTTTACTATAATTTTATAGTATCATCATGTACAATTTTTGTAACTCAATATCTACAACGCGATTTGTTATTCATCCCAATAACATACCTGTTTTATAACCTGCTTATGCATAAAAACCATTATGGGTGACCAAAAACTTGGTTCCGGTCGTCTTTCTACATCGCCGGCTATAACAGTTATTGTTTGCCAAAGAAAAGAATCTTTAAGGCCGTGCAAGAAAATTGCTTCCAGCGTCATGCACAGCGCACTTGTACATTCGCAAAGATCCAGTTGTTCTAGAATGTAATCATAATCATGTGTAATTAAAAGAAACATATTATAATTGCAAACCTACCACGCCCACTTTGTTTTGCTTCATATTCTATTTCACGGGAATTTTCACTTAATGTATTGATTAGGGCTTCCTTGATGGCATTTTCACGCTTCACGGAATAATTATTTATACTTCGAAAAAGTGAACTCATTTTATTATTTTGTATTTATTTGTCAACAAAGAACAAGCACTGTTACAGACATTTAATAATAATTTTTATTTCTTTACTTTTGTTTATTATCTTTTATTTTTCACTGGCAACGCAATTTGCATTGTTTTGCTGAAGTAAAACAGCTGATTTGCATTGTAAAGACTTCTGTTGTGATTTTTTTAAGAGATAACAAAATATCGATAAATTATTGTCAGCGGCTTATTTGTACATTCCGCGTACTTATTTTTGTTATTAATAATTATAATTTTAATTTTAATTAATGAACTAAAAATATTCAGAGTTATCAAAATTTTTAATTGTTAAAATTTGATATATGTTAAATATTTGTTTAATTATTTATAAACACTATTGCGTTTTGTTAGTTATTTAATATTTAATGAAATTAAAATGAAAGCCGCTGTACTGCATCACACATTAAGCCAAGTTCACAAAATCCGAATACTTTAGAACTTATAATATACTATTATTGTATAAAAATATATATTATTTATATTTTTTTATTTATTATTAATATGTATTATAAAAATTTATAAGTATTATATATATACATATAATTTAATATACATAATTATTAATTAAAAAATTTATTTTGTACGGCAAGAAATTTATTTCGTATAAAAAAGGATGAAATAAATTTAAAATGAACAATTTTTATTTTCCTGAAATTTGCAACCCAAAAATTATGTACAAATAATCAAACACATTTCTTCAAAACAGTTGATGATGGATATCTGGAGATGTCCGAAGAAGCTATATGGTCAGTTCAAGAATCAAAATTGATTAATCATTTTCTTTTGGATTTAAAAATTTCTTCACTAATCTCGCCCTTCTCTATTATATATAATATTATTATGGTATAAAATAAAAAAAACATTCAAACATTCATTAAAACACATATCTTTCCGTATGCCATAGCGCCCCTACCGTTGAGTGGTGGCCTTATGTAGTAAAGCCCACTTGAGCACAAATAATGACCCGTTGTGATGTGACACGTCCGTACTCCAAAAAAAAATGTTTAAATACTTACATTTCGTCATCGATATAGATGAAAAATCGTATACGCACATTTCTCAAAAAATTGAGGTTCCAGTTTTTCGCACACCTAGTTTACGTATCTGACGTACTTGGTTTGCCCACATGCCTTAACATGGTAAAATTTGATATTACTAAATGACAACACAAGCGGCACAATTCAGTGAAGGATCGATGAATACACGCTCTAGTTCATATTCTAGCCTCTTAGATGAATGCAGCTTAGATCTACATTATATTTTTCGAATAGTCTCTTTTCGCATTTGTAATAATATGGTATTGCTCTATGGATTTAATCTTAAAAATGTTCAAAACTTCATAACATTACCTGCCACCCTTCCATGAGGGCCATGTTAATCTTTTTTGTATCATTTTTATTTCAGTGCACAATCTTCCGAGTGAAGTGAAGGAGTTTCATTGGTACTTTTAAGTAGAACTCTCCATAAATCTAATAAACTCGATTGCGCCGTTTTGTGGCCACACTCTCGTTACCAACTGATTGTCGGATTGTTTGTCTATTATCTCTTGGAAGTTTATGAATCTCGCAAGTGTGTAGTAATTATTTATTGCCAGTTGTTCAACATTATTAAAGACGCGCTTACATAGGAGAGCTCCTCTCTGCTTTTAGAATGCAGGACTAGTGAAAGAGTGAGTGAAAGGGTTTATCTTGTAATTGATGTCCTTTAATTGTATTTCTTTGAGACATAAAAATAACTTCAAGTGAGTGAGTCCACCTTATAATGCAAAAATATTTTAAATTTCTGACTCTTTACTTAAACTAAAGGATTTTTTTTTAAATCTTTTACAGAAAAGTGTTGGGTTCTTCTGAAATAGATAGATTATTATTGTAAGGAGATGTGGCACTGCGACCACCGGTTCTACTGCGCCCCCTTCTTGGTTTAGAGTAGGGATCTAAGCCCTGTGGCGTCGATAAAATGTAGTATAGAACCTACTTTATAGAGTTTTATTGCCTCTTCCGTAAGGGCATACATTCAGATGATTCTATTTCGTATGAGAATTAGCGCTGGGCATTCTAACAGCACATGTGCGGCCGAATTCTCATTCTCTTCACAGAATCTACAGTTTGCATCCGTAAGTATAAATAGATAGATAGTATCTAATAACTGTTTCCTACAGTACTATAATAAAAAACTAATTTATTTTTTAATTTTAAAGGGTTTTAATATTTTATTTCATTTATTTATGCTTTATTTTTAAATTCATTTATTTTTATTATTTTTTTACTTCATATATGTATATATATATATATATAGATTTATATATCGTTATAAGGTATCGTTTCTGAGAATAAGGGTTTCTTATTTTGTTCTTTCGTTCCAATAATAAATATATGCATTTTTTTTTATTTAAACTTATATAATTTTATTTTAATTTTGTAAATTAATTTGTTTTTTTATTTTTAATTTTGCCTTTTAATTTTTTCAATATTGAATTTTTAATTTTTTTTTAATTTACTGATTTGCTTATTATTATTATTTTCCCTTACATGCATTGAAATATATATAAGGTATTTTTGTTTTTTATTTATATATATATTTAATGTTGCTTTTTGTAATGTTCTTCGAATTTTTTATTTTTTGTATTTTTTGTTTCTTCTTCGATGAGGTAGAATCATTTTTGGATTATATACAAAAGTTTAACAAGGATTTAAAGTATTCAAAGGAAACAGTTAAAAACAAAATAGAACAAAAACAATTTTCTTTTCTTTTATTTTTCTTTACACAAAACAATGAATGATATATATGCTTTTATGCTTTTTTTTATATTGTAATAATTTTTTTTGAATTATTTTATTTTTATTTTTAATATTTGTTTTCATTTAATGCTTAACAAGAGATCAGGTTTTAATCGTTTAATCATTTTTTTTTGTTTTTCAAATCTTAAGGTGCTAAAATTTTTAGGTTTGGATTTTAAGGATGCTTGGAGATCGTTTTGAACATTATCCGTTTTTTGCATTGATTTTTTATTTTTATTATTTTTTTATATTAAAATTTTACTTAAACTATTCTCATAAATAGAAAAAATCCTTCGGTTAACTTAATATTCTGCTTATTCGACGATATACGCGATATTTAGTTTATATAGTACAGTATATAGTAAATATAAATTGTATATATGCAATTGTGCTTTTCTTCTTACAAATTTTAGTAATTTATTTATTTCTTTTTTATAATTTAATATTTTAATATTTACTATTTATTTTAACTAATTTTTAATTATAATTTGGTTTATTAATTTTTTTATTATAAATTGAGAATTTGCTTGAAAGTTTATTTGACTGTCACTCGTTGTTTTAATTTAAATAAAAATTGGGGTTGCCTTTTTGCAAAAAAAAAAAACAATTAAAAAATCAAGATTAAGAGATTAAGATTAAATTAAGAATAATTAAATTGGTTAATTAAACTTGATAATTAAACTGTTGATTTTAATATATATATGCATGGATATTAAAGTTAATATAGAAAAAATAGATATTAGTTCAAATTTAATGTAAGTTCTATTAATAACAAAATACATCTAAATCTGGAATTAAATAATACATAGGTGGACTTAAACTGAACCAGGCATTTTAATGGACTTCTTGTTTTTTAAATATATAATAAATAAATATATTAAATAAATAAATATTGAATTTGATTAATTAGTACATATTAATTAATATCTACATATATATATATATATATATATATAATTAAAAATTTGTAAATATTATTTAAATAGTTTTGAATAATAAATAAATTAGTTAAGAAATACTTAATTTAATTTTATTTAAAAACAAATACATATTACATATTTAAAATTAATTAATTAATTATTAAAATAATTAAAAAAAAATTAATTTAAAATAATATTTTTAAGCAATCTGGCAACACCACTTGTAAATTTTAAGCAACTTTTAATTTAATACCAATATAGTTTGTATTGTTATAAGTATAGATTAAAAATTAAAGTTTACTCTGTCTATTGTACATATAATAATTTTTTTTGTCATATAAATTTTAAAATAAATTATAAATTATTTATTAATTAAGTATTTACAAAATTTGTGTTATTTATTCTTTTATATTTTTTTTTTTTTTTTTGGTTTAAATATAAGAATTAATTTATTGTGGAAATTATTGTTTCGCAGGGAGGGAGTTTATTTTTTATAATTTATTTAAAATAATAATTTTTTTTTTTTATATTTTTTATTTAATTTTTCTACTAAATGCTTACGTCAGCTTATAAGAGTTTATAATGGAAAAAATATTAATAATATTTTGCGCTTAAATTTATAAATAATTCGACTTATATTTGGATTATTATTTAATATTTGTTTTTTTTGTTTTGTATTTATTTAATATAAAACTTAAACTAAAAATTTTAATTTTTCTTTTTAAACGTTAATTACTTTTCAACTACTTTCCGACAAGCCTCACTTAAGCTTAACCATGTGAAAAGCAAAATTCACAGCCTTTTACGCACTTTTAAGTCAAATCTCAAAACTCCCTAATTAAGAATTAATGGCATACGAGTATCAAGCCAATCTGCCGATGGGGTTTCGAGGTGTGTAAGTTTTTTAAAATTTTGTGACAAGTTTTATATTCATTTCATCAAAGTATATATTTCTCAGAAAGTTGTGCAAAATCGCCGAGATCTGTGTAAAGGTGTCAAGGAATCCTTCTTTTGGAACGGCCAGTAATGAGAAGTCTAGAAGACTATATGGTAAGGTTAGTTTTGCAAGTGAAGAAGGGCAAAACAGCCCACGGAAAATGTTGGTAAAGTACTATATACAACGACATACAACGTACAAGCACAAAGGAAGATCCTATTGAGGAGCTTACGGTTGAATATATTCCACTGGGAGAGTTGACCCAAAATGAGATTACACTAAGAACAGAAAATTAAAAGATTTTACCTAATATGTAACTATAAAATGAGATTTATTAACAGAATCTATTTATTTAAAACTTCTATCTCTAACAACACAAATAGGTTATGGATTCATATATTTCCATACCTATCCATAAGTGTTCCGTGTTAAAGTTGAAATTGGAAAAATATACTAAAAATCTAAAAAAGTAAGATTTTACAATGGTTTCTCTAACTGGTTTTTTGAAAGATAGTTAATAGAAAAAACGACACCTAGTCTTCTAGGTGTACTAGTACATGTATACTAGTAGCACTATTATTAAGCACAAAGTTCAGTTGACTGAGGATCTTGCTCAGACCCTCATACCTCGTTATCGTGTACTTAATTGAAGAACAAAAAGAAAATATATGTCAGACGATGTTAGATGTTCAGAATACAGAATACAGCCTTATTATTTTGATTCAGAACAGAACTGGACAATTACAAACAGTGGAACTAGAACTCTCATACATGACCAGATGTCGCGATTTTCTAATATGAGACATGGTCTCACGTCCCATAACACTTCTCTAGAACATATCCTGATAGTCACGGTATCATCCTGATATTAGCTATAATACCATATCAGATATCAGTCATATCAGCAAATTAAGGAATGCATTTCTCACTCATTCAGATAAAATGCTTTTGACTAAAATAGTATTACAGACAAGACTATTGATTGAACTATCATTGAGAAGCTAAAACATAACTACCCACTGATAATATATCAGTATAAGAATTATGTTCAAAATTTTACGAATACTTTTTGAAATATTTTTTGCCACATTTAACCACCACGAAACCCTTTTCAATAAGTCCACCGAAAAGCATATAACCAATTTTATATTACAAATATATTTACTACTACTCCCTTTAAATAAACTTCTCTATTTTCCGTCACAATGCACCGTACATTTTTTTATAATATTTTTTCCCTTAAATATTTTTTACTTCTTAATATATATTATTAATTTAAGACTTTATAGTGTTAATGTTTTAGTTTATATAAAATTACTTTTTACTTAAGGAAATTAATGTTTTTTTATATATATAAAAAAAATTATTATATTAATATAATAATTAGTATAAATGGTTTTGTTTTAATTTTAGTAATAATTAACGTATGATCACTATTTTATATATATATATTTTTCCAAGAAAAACAGTCAAATTTTAAAATGTTACTTGAAGTTTTTAAAATTATATTAATTTTAAAAATATTTTATATTTAATTACAATTAATTAATTATTATTAGTTATTGTTTTAATTTAATAGTATATTTAAACTTTTATGTAACTACAGTATGAAAAAGTAAAAAAATTACTAATATTTTATTAAGTCTCTAATTCGTTTAATTTTTAGTTATACATATACATATAGTATATATATGTATGTAATTAAAAATGATAATATTTTTTTAGTATATAATTATTATGCTACAAAAATTAGAAATTTTAAATTATAATCATTTTTACTTTAATTGTTTTC